TAAATTACAAATTAAAAAAAGGTATGAAAATAAAATAAACAGAAAAGGCATATTGTAAGAATAAAACACAGAATTAATGTTGCAGATAAGAGGAAGATGCATTAAGAAAGACGGACAAAAGTTCATAGATGGACAACGCATCGTATAACGGAAAACAAAAGAGAATACGCTTTGTAGATACTAAAGAAATATGGCATAGAGAAATGGAAACTCGTCCGCGTAGGAGGTAATAAAAAAAGAAAAGAAAATTACAAATGACGCACATATAGTAGAAACATACATAAATGTACGTTCCTCGCATTGTTTCCTGCAGAAATGTGCAATAAAGATAGATCATTCTTTGAGATAAAAACATGCGGAATATGCACAGAAAGTAAAACAAAGTAAAAATAATTTTTCGAAAATCTCAAAAATGTCGTTAGCCTAATGCTCGATCTAACCCGCTTATCCGCAACGATCTGGAACTTTCTGCGGCGAATTCACGCGAAAGTTGCGGACTCCGGTCGCTCCGGTTGAAGTTTCGTATCGCGCTCTCTCGCAGGAAGCCATGAGATTAGTCGTTCGACAGTTTTTGAAATGGCCCGCGGAAACGTTCCCCCGGGGGGCACCCATCCACGGTCACGGCGAAACTTTTCCAACTTGTTGCCCGCCGCGGAAACTTTCCGCACGAGCTGGAAAATTGCCCGTGTGCCCCTGCACGGCCATAGTTTTTCAGAAGCGATCTCCGTCTCGTTCCGAGGCGTCTAAACAACTTTCTCAACTTGTTGCAAGTTGAGTCTTCGACTTCAACTTGCGTGTGTGGGGGCAAGTGTCGCATTGGCTCGTAAAACGACTCGTTCGTCCGTCGCGCATCCCCACCTCCTCGCCCTTTTTTTTTTCTTTCGAACAGACTATCGCCGATTCTATCGACTTCTCGACTTTCCACGGGCGTTTCATCGATGTCGTCTTTAGTTTGTTACTCGTGTAAGTTTTATCGTAAAAGAAAACGTACGTTCCGTTGAATTTCTCCAGTTGAAACATTATTTTTTTAATATGTTAAAACTTTTGTTAGCTGCAATAAATTGTAGAGTCCACGAACTAAGTCTGTCGATTATTCTTAAAAATAATATCTTATATTCTTAACACGTTTCTATCCTTCAAATCACGTTTTCAGCAAAGAAAATTACGGAATCTCCAGAAATCTGCAGAATTAAATTGTGATGAGTTATCCTGGAACACTAGTGAACGGAAGAAAAGCTCTACGAAAACGAGAAGAAGGTTCGTAGGATACGTTCCACTGGCCGGATCAAATAATTGCCGTCTTGATAGGCAGAGCAAACATCGAGAGCTTTTTCGACAGAGAAAGAACGGAAAAGAGAAAGTGTGGAAAGAGGAAGACATGAAGGTTCGTGAGAGGAGGAGCCGCCGTAGCGCGGAGACTGTGGACTCTTATCAAGGCCCCGGCACCGTTGCCCTCCACCTTTTCTCCAGGGTTTGCTCCCTCGTCGAGAACTCGGAGAGGCAGAGTCTGCAAATTCAATCTTACCGGAGACCTCTACCCACCTACACAGTTTGTTCCGCCTATTGATTCCTGGTTCGCCAGGGCTCCTTTTACCGAACCGACCAATTCGAATGCTTCGCGGCGAGAGAACGTAGTCCGGATGGATGATAGAAATCCCACTTATGCTCGGATTTCGAAAGCGACTGACCCTGCGACCACGCGACAATCCCTGAAGAAAAGAAACTGCGAGAAATTTTCCGTATTCAATACGGTCTTTCAAGTGTTTCAAAATTTATACTTGTTCCTGCCGTCAAACACATGGAGATTGAGATAAATGCAAACCCAAGACTGACAAAATTATCATCCTTAAATAACGACTAACTCGAGTAAAAAAGTATCCACTTTAATTTATAGCTATATAATATATAAACCCTGACAGCGTCATATTTTAACGTTTGCGTAAAAGATGAGTGTAATTATATTAATTTATATAATCACAAAAATAAACATGCATAGCACGTTTATCTTACGCATCAGTTAATTTGTAATAATTGAATTGTAATAATCTATATAATATTATATAATAATTTATCATATTTATATAATGCAACTAAAACAAAGCATCAAAATAGCCTCAACAGTAAACACAAATGGAAATGACTGGATTAAATAAATCGTATTCTATCCGTGTTTGTAAAAACAATGCGGGTGGCGCTAGCGAGTAGTGTCAGCAAGCATCGAATTATAAGTGCAAAGTTAGGAGAAAGTCCCCATTTACAATTTAGCATATACAATCTAGCAAAAGATCATGCGTGTGCGAATAAATACGCGACGCTAAAAGCCCATGCAACTGCGACTGGTAACGCGGTGTGAAGTGCAAATGCCGCCGCGCTATAGACGCATATAAACGGTAATCCGCGCGCGCAATGTGATTAATAATAATTTGCCGGTCGGCATAAGCGGAACCGATTAGCCGGCTTAGCCAAGCGTTATGGTAATAGGGAGCTATTACCCACCGACTGCACCCTCTCTTTCTCTCTAACCCTCCTGCTCTCCCCCTCACCCCCTCTCACTCTCTCTCTCTCTCTCTCTATCGTTCCCTGTTTCGTCCTCTCTCTCTTTCTCTCTCTCTGTCTTTCATATCCCGTTCTCGTATTGCCAGCTTCCGTTATGCTTCCTATTCGCGCTGCTCACCTCTATCCGTCCGCCTCTATCACTTTAACGCACGCCCTCGTGACGGCCAGTCACTTTGAGCATCGACCGGCATGTTCAATCTTGCCGGCACTCGCTCGTTCGACGCGGCTTCCTTCGACTCCTCGATTTTCCACATCGATAGGTAAATCTCCTCGAGGACGCGTCATAAGCGCGAGATGTTGACGCGGCGTGAGATTTGTAGACGTCTCGAAAAACCCTCGCCAAGCCATACGATACGCATGGAGATCGATACGAAACTGAACTGGATATACACGAATGGGTATCCTGACAAAATATTTTGCTCAACAAAAATTTTTAATCAATGCTTAATCGTATTATAATGTAAATATAAAATTTATTCCACGCAGATCACTAAGTGACAGATTCTTTGACGTAATTTGTTTGAATTTCTAGTTAACGACGCCGTACGCGCAGCACACAATGTGTAATTAATTTTCTGCCAATTAAGGCGACCAACGCGACGCCTTCGAAAATCGGCACGGCGCGACGCGTAGAATTTCGCCCGAGAATGCGGGCGTAATACTCGCGCGGAATTAGTAATTAAGTAGCGCGCGCGAGAGACACAATTCCGGAAGCCGGTCGGCGTGACGGCGAGCGTAATTGCCGGACACCACGATGGAGGATTTCAATTCTCTCTCTTTCTCTCGCGCACTGAAAATTTGCATACTTTGTATTTTGTATGCCGCGCGCGTGCAGTGCGCGCGACGACATTACGAAATTCGGTCGAAATGCGCGCGCGCGCGCGCGCACACTTTTCCCTCTCGAACGTCGTTATAAATGAGTTACGACGGGTGTTTCGCGCGTACGTCGTTATGAGTTTCGCGTTTTACCGAGCTCTCCGCGCCCTGTCGCGAGCGACGCGTCTGAGACACGCGATATTGGATGGTGCTGTTTCGTTTACTCGCCCGTCTGCAATTTCTCCGGCGTCGTAAATCAGCGTAATTAGCTGTTTGTCTTGACGTTTGCAAATCGCAAGCGTTAAATTTAAAGGAATAGGTGCGAATCGTAACTCATTAAATTTCAGTAAACTTCTTTCATTAAATTTAAATACAAAATTAGTTACTAATGCAAACATGATCATATTTAACAAATTTAAAGTATAATTAAATATAAAAATAATGTGTAATATTTGATATAAAAATATATTAAAAAAGAAAAAAAAAATTTTTTTAGTTTTACTGAAATTTATATTCCGTTGATCAAATTCGTTTTGTTCGCTCTAGTAGTGATCATGTTAGCCGAATTATAGCATAATAGCAGTTGAGAATAAAGTCGATGCAGCCCGAAGTTTAAGCGCGATCACGAGGCTACGTAGGCTAACTGGGCGAGCAACACGAAATTTATCGCAGATCCCATGGCTCGCAAATTTCGCCATAACATTGACACAGAGGCTGCAGCCTGTGTGGGCGTGGAGTTATTAACCGAAGCGGTAGGCGCCCGCTAACGATACAAGAGCCGGCAAGTAGTTGCTGACTCGTGCTTTCACGCCCTCGATCAAAGCATTTACGCCGAGAAGTGGGTGTCTCGCGCGCACATCACTCGGAGGAGAATAACTTGCCCGACGTATTATAGTCACATCGCCTCGGCAGCATCATTCGATCGATGCCGGGCACACTAAGCACGTTGATTAATCCACTTTGGAACTTGTCAAACTGTTTTCCGCCTGATACGACTGGCCGTCAACGTGATATCTTTGCTTCCGACCTTCCAATACCGCTGTTCAAAGCGCCTTGACATGTGTGACGCGTTACAAATTCACATCTCTTATATTTTTATATAGCGTTTTATTAAATAAATCTTATTTTTCGCAACTTTCGTAACCTTTCAAATCCCAAGTTAGACAGTTTCCAGAGAAAAAGTTGAGAAAGGGAATGGGAGAAGGTAGAGCACACGGGTTTATTTTAAATCGGTAGGTAGTGCTTTGGGCCTCCTCGGAGATGATGATGCGAGAGAGCGAAGGAGGCGTA